TGTAACTGCACCTACATGAGAAAAAAAAAATTTTTTATTTATATGCATTAGTTGTGGCGTAATTCAAATTTTAATATATTAGGATTTGCAATGATCGACGGGTGGTCGGATATTTTTTGGAGGGGAGTGTACATGTGGAAAGTAAGAATAACATCAAGAATTTCGTTAAGGGCAATAAAATGTCCCTTAAATTTTTCACGAAAATTCTCATAAGTTGAAATTTCAGTTCTATAAGGATGAGAAGTGATCAAATCAGTATAATTAAAGTAATAATTATTATGATCAACATGCAGGGTCTTACTTTTTAAGCTTATATTTCATTGCCTCATAAAGTAATCTTAATCCAAATACAACCTCGGGTTCCTCTTTAAACTCATCTATAGTGAAACTATCACATGCTACGCGAAAAGACAAATACAATTTTTTACTGCAACTGCAATTTCAGGTCTCACTACTCCATGATATTTATCTTCATTTTCATTAGCACGTCGAGCAAACGTTGTTTTGCCTTTCCCAGCTGTTCCTACAGCAGCAGCAAAATATAAATTTTTCAAAGGTTCTGCATATTCTCCTGGATTTGTCACAAGCTGATGTAATTTGTCCATATTTTTCATTAGCTGCATTATTGCATTTTCACGACTCACAAATTTCAAATATGTTGATATATCTACTGTGTCATTAGGGATATTTTCAGAGTTGGAGAGTGATCTGCGAGAGTTTTTACCATTATTAACGTATTTGTCAAGTATGTCTTTGATTTTAGCAGAGGTTAGCTTTCTTGTTGACAAATTAACTATAAAGAGAGAGAATAAAATCACGTAGAATGACAATAATAGAAAGAGGACCTCATATGAAACGAGAGAAAACAATGGTTTTTTTACACAATTTGTTCATTACCTTTCTCTTTTTTAAAATCGGCTAATTTATTTTGCAACTTCATCACCTGTTCTTCCCACTTCTCTTTATTCTTTACCAGCCACTCCTTTTCGCCATCTAATTCATCTTTTTCTCCTTTGTAATCTTCTTCTACTTTCTTCCTCTTCAAATTCTTCAGCCTCTCCTCCCAGTCCTCCTTCCACCTCTTTAAATTCTCCTTCGCCTCTTTATGTTCTCCTCTTGCATCTTTTAATTCTTGTTTAATTTCGTTGATGGTTGCCATTTTTACAATTTAAAATTAAAATTTGTATTTTAAAAATTGATTGTTACTATGCATAATTTTGACCAATGATAAATTCGCGCTAGTGAGCACATGACTTGGACAAAAGAGAGATATATAAATGACTGTGTCATCCCAAAAACTAATAACGTTACATTTATTTTTTAACGGAATGTCTCCAACCGAGATTCACCAACTTAACTTTGGTCCCATCACGGCCCATGCTTTCAATAAAGACCGAACACGTTAGTTAAATTTTTTTTTTTTTCATTTGTAGCTTGAACCACCATATCTCTCAAAGAATGAGTTTCTATAATATTTTTAATAGAGGTTGCAGTTTGTCCTAATAATAATGAAGTACAAATATATATAAAGGCTGGTAAAGGCTGGAATTTAATACATACTTTAGCTGAAGTTCGTATTTAAAACATTTTACAACACTATCAAAAACTATTTCAAAAAGATATTAATTGAAATTTAATCATAAAAGCACGATAAACTTGTAACAGGCATCGATTGGGCTCCAGAATCAAATCGACTGGGTTCGTGATTTATCATTATTTACTTGACAAAATTTCATAATGTCGGAGATTTATATAATTCTGATTATTCCGTTGAATTCATCATGATTCTTTAGTTACAAGTTCTCAAGATCGTAATACTTATGTATGGAACTTTGATACAGAAACCAATGAGTGGAAACCAACTTTAGTGTTGCTTCGAATTAATCGTGCTGCAACATTTGTTCGGTGGTCTCCACATGAAAATAAATTCGCTGTTGCTTCTGGAGCGCGTGTTATTGCTGTATGCTACTTTGATGAAGAACATAATTGGTGGACTAGTAAACATCTGAAAAAACCAATTAGAAGTACTGTATTAAGTCTTGATTGGCATCCCAACAATGTACTCTTGGCCGCGGGTAGTGCCGATTTCAAGGTTCGTAAATAGTATTATTTTTTTTTTCTTCTTCATATATCCTAATTTGCCATTGTTTTTTAGGCACGTGTTTTCTCGGCTTTTATTAAGGGCGTTGATCAAAAGTAACTAAGTGATGAATCATTGTTTATTTATTAACAAATGAAAAAAAAAAAAATGCTTATATAAAGTATATATTATCAATTCATTCTAGACCACCACCAACAGCTTGGGGTGACAAACTTCCATTCAATACTATCTGCGGTGAATTTTCCAATGGCAGTGGTGGATGGATTCATTGCGTTGCCTTTTCGCCAAGTGGTGACGCATTAGCTTTTTCAGGTCACGATTCTGTCATCAGTATTGCTTATCCCGGGGGTGCTATTCAAAGTGTTGGATTGACTAGTTTACCATATTTAAGTTTAATTTGGACATCTGAAAAAAACATCATTGCAGCTGGTTATGATTTCACACCCGTATTATTCGAAAATACTAATGAAGGATGGTAGGTATAATGAAGTATTTATTTATTTAAAAGTTATAAATCTTTTAATTCCAACTTAATTGTTTATTAGGAAACTGTCAAGAGTAATTGATGTAGGAAAGAAAAAAGTTGTGGGCGAATCAACTGCTTTTAATATGTTCCGCGATTGGGATACAAAAGGTATCTCCTCTCGTAGTAATAATGACGACTCTGAATTGAATACTATTCATCAAAATACGATCACGTAAGGTCCACTAAATTTTGTTATAATAAATGCGTTGAACTTTTAAACAATTTTTTTTTTTTAAAAAAAAAAATTTAGTTCGATTCGACCTTATTCGGTAATACATGGAAATGTAAAACAGTTTTCAACAAGCGGATTAGATGGGAAGTTAGTTATTTGGGATTTGGAAAGTCTTTGAAAGTCTATCTAGATAGTAATTTTAAGTTAATCTAAGTTAATATTTTGAATCAATTATAAAAAAACAATATTTATATACAAAATTTGCACATTTTTTTTGTTAATTTAAGTTTTTTTGATTTTCAAATAAAAAGAAAATTTAAAAAAATATTGTTTATTTTTTTTAAAAGGAATGATCTTTGAAAATTTTTACATATATAATGGTAACAAAATTAAAATGAATTAAAAGAGTGGGGGTATGTTTTTTATGCATTATATAATAACTAAATATTACGTTTGATTTACACAGTCTTGATATTAATATATGTTAAATTTTTTTTTTTTTTTTTCATGAGAGAAAAAAACTTATAAATAATTTCAACCGCCACTTTTAAAAAAAAAAATTTACATAAGAAAACGGAAATAGAAAAATAATAATGGTATGTATGATATATGGTACTATAAGAAAAAAACGTTGGCATAAGTGAAATAATTATTAAATTTTTTTTTTTTGAGGTATATCATGATATTATTATTATAAACTAATCTATACTAAAAAGACTCACTTGAATGGTTATATAACTAATGAGAAATGTGTGATAATAAATAGATATTTTCTTTTCTTTCTTTTTTTTTTGTAAAAATATATAACAAATTCTAAAAACATCAAGTAAACCCACATTAAATTGTCCTTTATTCTCACTAAAATATCCAAGCTAATAGTAACAAATTCAAGAATGTGTGAATTTTGTACTTAAGATGCTTAAAAACATTTAATATGGAAGAGAATAAACACTTCACATATTTATTGTTATAAAAAGCACTAAAACTTATTTTGAGACTATGAATTAAACTCCAATAATTACCATTATTTATTACATAGACCATCGAACTACTTAATATCACAACAATCTTGTTGTGTAATGAACAATATTATCAATTATTTGGATCTGGATAAAGCAAACACACCAATAATCGCAACTGCAAGTGTAAGAACAGCTCCGGGCAACAATAAATCATGTGGAATAGGCAAATTATAAATTGGTGCATGTTTGTTGCGTCTTTTACGTCTTCTTATATCGAGGATTTCGTCATCATCATCTTCCTCGTCTTCATATTCTTCCCTATAAGATCTTGATGATGGTTTCTTTTCTAATTCTTGAATATGTAAAATTACACGACTCATGCCCTGTCGTTGTGCAATTCTTACGGCATCGACAACATCATCATCGTTTGACATTGAAACGTGGTCGTCATCCTCATCCACATAAGAGATTGTGAAATCTCGAACATTTGAAGGTAGTTTAGAAGTCACTGTAGCTCGAATATGTTCAAAACTTGTATAGTCCACAGTAAATCGATGCGATTTTCCATTGGGTGCTTTGAATTTGAAGGTAAAAAAGTTTTCGTCATGACCTCGTGGAAATGACGCTAAAGAACCATCATCAATAGCTGAAGCTGATTCGCTTGGATGGATTTCGGGGATTGGAGAGATGTTTCCTGATCCACGCATCCTTGAATTTGGTGATGGCGGTGGGATGTTTGAAACGCTTTGTGATGGAGCGATCGAATCAGATACTGTAGATTCATTATCACCATCATTAGCAAGGGAATTCCAGAATTTATTCCACATTGGACCACCTCCGTCATTGCCATTTTCCTGATTTTGCATGGAATACATCTATTAAGAAAAATTTAAATTTAATCTTGACCATCATATCTTATAGAATAATAAGAACAAACAAGCTTTAATATTTACCTGCTCCATTGTGGCATATGTCAATTTTAATACATCGACCATCCCTAAAATGCTTGCACCGTCAACAACTGGTAAATTTAGATAATGGCCATCTATATAATTGAAGTGATATAAGTAATGATGATACACAAATATGTAATATAATGCCTATGCTATATTTGTCGATTAATTCATAGGCAAATGAACATAGTGAACATAATTTCATTCACAAAGATATTAGATTTAATCAAAATTTATATTCTCCTGCAGGATGACAAGTAATGCAGTGCCGTATACTTTGCAGACTTGTTTTAATACAGGAGAATACGTAAAGTCAAATCATATAGTATAATTAAGGGACAATCGATATTTACCGTACATCTTTTTCAATGCCTCTAGAATGCTTGTATGAGGTGGTGCAGTATCAGGGTGTGGTGTCATTACTCGGACTACACTACATGTTGAAGGATCTAACCCAGCTGCTATGACCCTCAATACAATATCTTTACTGGTAAAGATACCAGCAATCGAATTATGTTCCATGACTAATACTGCTGTTGTTCGATATTCTCTCATTAATCTAGCTGCATCTCTCACTGATGTTCGAACACCAACTTCGGCTGGCATCGAACCGTCCAAAACGGATGTTAAATCCGGACAAGCCATCTTTTCGCGTAACATTTCCATATATTGAACGATTTGAGTAGGCTGATTTGTTGCCCATTCCCTTTCAACACCTTCAAGTGCATCATATAATTTTTTGGATGAGCCATATGCTCGTTCCATTTTATCCAATGCCTCATAAAGACATTTAGTGATGTCGAGCAGGCCGACAACATCACCTTCTTCGTTACATACGGGCTATCAAATTATAAATATTTTAAAAATTAATTTTTGGATTTTATCAGACATCATGGAACGATTACATGAAAATATTTGAATACATACAAGATGTCGAAATCCACGTGCAACCATTGTATTAAGAGCATCAGTTGCTGAAGTATCATTTTTCACACACATTGGATTTCTAGTCATTATTGTTGCTACGGTTGTGGTTCTTGCGTCTAAACCGTCCCCAACTACCCGAAAAGCCAAATCTTTGGCAGTAAAAATTCCGGATAAATGTTCTTCGCTATCTATAACAAGCACACAGTCTGCACGCTTGGCTGCCATAAGTTGTGATGCTTCAACAACCAAAGCACTTTCTCTAACGGTTAATGCTTGTGATGGATTAAGAGACGCAACGGTTCCTTTAGCACCTGTAATTGGGCGTTGTGGTTTTCCGCGGTTTAACGACAAGCTTTTTGTCCGGTTTTTCTTACTCAACTCATGTTCGACTTTTTTTCGGATCGCCTAAATAATATGGTAAGTACACAAGTTGGAAATAAAAAAAAAAACTTATGAGTAAGGCATGCAAACTAATTGTAGGATGGGTTTGGCCTTCTCATGTCCACACACTGCGACAGTGATGGGGTCATTACCTCATCCTTCTTTGACATTCTTTGACGAGCTATATCATCCAAAGGAGAACCAACCTCAGAAGAGCCAGAATGGCTTTGAGCTGGTGTAGGATAACTAGGCGAGGATGTTTTTCTTGATCTAAAGGTTTGGGCGGTGGACATGTTAGCAGTGGGTGGTATACTAATACAAGCAAGGAATGTTTTGGTTAAAGGGGAAAAGGCACGCGGAGTATTTAAAAAAAAAAAATGTTTTAATTTTCTATTCTTATGAGTCAATTTTTATTAACTATATGGGGTCACATCGGTATTACAATACTATATTAATTAATATATATTTAAAAAAAAAAAATTTAACGTCACACCTTTTAAATTTATTATAAGAGGGGTTTCCCATTAGGCAAAAGTTAAAAAAGAACGAATGGAAATCATCGGGAATAAAGAAATTCTTGGGCTATATAAAGATGTTTTTAACTTATTTATCTTTTCCTCCGAATTTATTAATTTTTTTTTTTTTTTACATCAATGGAGAGGAAATCATTCAAATGAGAACAAAGAAAATTCTTGCATCATCCCACACTTAAAGACATTAAAGACGTAAAAACGAGAAAAGTATAACCACAAATTTGGCAATCTTTTTTATATTTCTTGACTAAGCGATTAAAATCATTAGATCGTTTCGATCAATGATGATTATAGATTTATTGACTCTCTCACCTTTCATCAAAAATATTCATCTTTAAATCTAAAATGAATTTGGAAAGATTCACAGATAAACGTTATTATGCCATAATGTTTTGTTTTGGGCTTTATTGTTTGTTATACAATAGTCTGTTCGTTCAAACTTAACCGTATTAGATCGACCCTAAATTCCCCTACATCCAATTACATGCGTTAGGTATTCCGAAAATAACAGAGAATGTTAATTTTTTGAGTTGAATGACTCACGCGATATTAAAAATGTTAAAAAAAAAAGACCGTCGCCTTCCGATGGGCTGAATTTACAACAATAAAAAAAAATTCGATTATAGGTGTAATTAGGATTAGTAATAATAAATACTGATGATAATAATCTTATGATAAATAACATTTTTTATACTGATTACTTAGTAAAAAAGTGAAACACATGGGATGCGATATAAATTAAAGAAAAATTTTGGGTTAAATTATAATTAATAAAAATACTAATTTAGGATTTAAAGGTTATAAATGCTTTTTATAATTATTTAATATTTTTAAATTTACAATTAAAATTACTTATAATTTTGTATTATTTATTAAAAAAAAAAAAAAAATAAATAAATATATGTATTTTAATTATTTATATAATTAATAGAAATAAAAAAATATAACAAAAATAATATTTTAATTAATATTTATATAGATATGATAATAACAATTCAGAAACTTATCAATTATAAATTTAATCTAATAGAATATACTCTATTAGTATAAATTTATTTATTTATCAATATCCTGATTGATAATTTTGATATAAATGATATATATAATTAATACCAATTGATTACAAATATATAAATTTATATAAATTAAATATTATAAGATATTTCTGAGAATAGGAATAAACAAGATCAAGCGAATGAAATTATATAGCTCTGATACTATTTCAAACCTATCTAGTACTTAAATCTAAAGCATTATAGACTGTTTCTCTATGACATGATTACAATCACATGATTCTGTGAATAATATTCATGTTGTCATATAACTACTGCGCTGATTGATATTATATAAACTTATTGATAAATTTATTTATTTAAATTTATTTAAATTTACTAAAATTTTCAAATTAAAAATAGCAAATAA